TCACAAAAACAAAGGTTTTCTTGTTCATGTGATAGATACATCTAAAATAAAATCTTTGGGTGATATTCCAGTGGTAAAAGAATATCTATAAGTTTTTCTTAATGATTTACTAGGGTTTCCTCCTGTAAGAGATCAATCTCACTATTGAGCTACTACCAGGTTCTAAACCCTATAGAATGGTCATTAAGGAGTTAAATGAGTTGAAAAATCAATTATAGGAATTACTTGATAAAGGGTTCATCAAACCTAACACCTCACATTGGGAAGCTCCAGTATTATTCTTGAAGAAGAAGGATGTGAGCTTCAAAATGTGCCTTGACTACATCGAATTGAATAAGCTCGCTATGAAGAACAAATATCCACTGCGATGATTGATGAATTTTTTTTATCAATTGAAGGAGCTTCAATATTTTCTAATATAGATTTAAGATTTGATAATCACCAATTGAGAATTGAAGAGCAAGATAAAGCAAAAACGACTTTCAAAATTAGATACAGGCACAATGAATTTTTGGTGAAGTCATTTAGACTGACTAATGCTCTAACAGTTTTTATGGATCTGATGAACAGGATCGTGCAACAGCTTTTAGATACTTTTGTGATTGTTTTTATAGACGATATCCTGGTGTTTTCTAGAGATGAAACCATACAGATTATTTGTGTGTTGCTTTACAAGTTCTAAAAGAAAATACATTATATATTAAATTTTTTAAATATGAATTTTAGCTTAAAAGTGTATTTTTTTACATATTATCGGTGAAGATGCCATATCTATCGATCATAACAAGATCAAGGGGATTGCAAATTGATCAAGACCTACTACTGTTACTGAGATCATGAGTTTTTTAGGTATGGCTAGTTATTAGAGGAGATTTATAAAGGGGTTTTCAAAGATTGATATGACATTATTTAGATTAACTAAGAAGACAGTAAAGTTTGAATGTTAAGATCATTGTGAGGAGGCCTTCAAATATGAATCAGATGAGTTTCAGATTTATAGTGATGTCTCATTAAAGGGATTGGGTTATGTGCTTATGCAACATGGAAGGGTTATTTTTTATGCTCCAAGGAAACTGAAGTATTAAGAAAGAAACTATCCTATCCATGACTTGGAGTTAGTTGCAGTTGTTTTTGCACTTAGGTTTTGAAGGCACTGCCTGTATAGAGTTATATGTGAGTTCTTTATTGATCACCAGTCTGAAGTACATCTTAACTCAGAAATAGTTGAATCTGAGGCATCGAAGATGACTGGAGTTTATTAAAAATTATTATTTGGATACCATCACGAAAAAAAAAAAAGTAGTTGCAGATGGGTTGAATACGAAAACTTCAAGTAGTTCAAAATGGTTGATTACTCAATAAGAGCAACTAATCACTTGAGCTCTCAGTGATTAACTATAGCAATGAGAATATAACTTAGTTAAAACAACTAACTATTAAATCTAATTTGAAAGACTGAATCAAATTTATTAGCCAGAGATAGCAGTATTTAGAAAATTTTAAAGCGAGAAAAAATATATGAAGGATGAAGATGGTTTATTGAAACATAAAGACTGCTTTATGTTCCATATGTAAATTGATTGAGAAAAGAGATTTTAAAGGAAGCACATTTGTTTGGTTATATTATTCACCCAAGAAGTAATAAAATGTATCCAGATCTCAAGAAATTATTTTGGTGGCCAAGATTGATGAAACGTGTGGCAAAATTTGTGGTTAAATAAACATGTTAATTAGTGAATGTAGAGCATTAGTGTCCTGGAGGTTGGTTGCAACCTTTACCTATTTCTGAGAGGAAATTGGAAGAAATTGTTATAGGCTTTGTGATTGGATTGCCTAAATCGCATGAGGGTCGTGGTGCTATTTGGATAATTGTTGATAGATTGACTAAGTCATTCAATTGCTTGCCCATTGGACAGACACATCCTATTGAGAGGTAAGTCAAATTATGTGTGGATCAAATTATAAGGTTGCATGAAGTGCTAAAGTTTATCATCTCCAACAGAGATTGCTGATTTACTTTCAGATTCTGGAAGAAGATTCGAGAAGCCTTGGCCACCGGATTGACTTTTAATAGAGTCTTTCACCCTCAGAAAAATGACCAATCTGAAAGGACAATATGGAGGATCTATTAAGATTATATGTCCTTGACTTTCATGAAGAATGGGAATCACATATACTCTTGGTAGAATTTACTTATAATAACAATTATCAGACAAAAATTGGAATAAATCTATATGAAATTTTGTATGGAAGAAAGTGCAGGACACTTTTATATTGGGCTAAAGCATGTTAATAAAAAATCATCGGGACTGATTTGGTTGATGACGCTATTAAGAAGATTAGACTGGTCAGATATAGATTAAAGGTTGATGCCAAGCATAGGCTGTTGAATTTGAAGTTGGTGAGTTCATTTTTATTGAAGTTAGTCCTTTGAAAAGTGTGCAAAGATTTGAAAAATCGGGAAAATTAAGCCACAGATACGTAGTCGCCTATGAAGTTGTGGAAAGAAATTGAAAGATGGCTCATAGATTTGTGAAAAGAACTCATATGCAAGGAGTGCATAATTTTTTCTATATTTCTTCACTTAAAAAATATATTGCAGATGAATCAAGTAGGGTGATAACAGACTCAGTTGATATACAACCTGATTTAACTTATAATGAGGAGCCTGGAAGAATACTAAATTATGATGTGAAGAAACTTTGTAATAAGAAGATTTCATTTGTGGAGATTTTATGGAAGCACGAATCAGAAAGAAATGTTACTTAGGAGAGATTTAAATAGAAAAAAAAAGATATCCCCAACTCTTCCGTTAAGTATGCTTTGTTTTTGTATTAAATTTTCAAATTTCAAGGATAATTTTTATAAGGAGAGATTATAATAATTGCATGTTATAAATAATAAATAAACCAATAAATATTACTAACAATAACAATTGAAAAGGTACATCCCTAAGGTTTCGTCTTTAAGAGTTGAAAAAATTATCATTTCATTCAGAACAGACTGACACAGAGAAAGCAAGAGAAAGAATAGGGAGATCGAGAGTTAGAACGAAGGAAGACAACAGAAGAAGGAAAAATAAGGAAGAAGGAACAAGGAAGAACAAGCAGATAAAGAAGGAAAGAAGTTGCTACTTACCAGCATGGGAGACTTCAACTCTTGTGCGGGAGACTTCGACTCTTGCACGGCAAAAGGAAGGGGCCCTAGTCGGGGGAAGGAAAATGAAGGAGGCGAAGACGTGCTTGGTTTTGTATCTCATCAAAGAAGAACAGAAAGGAGACGGGATCCACAGCACTGTGTTGTGTGCATGAAGAAAAAGAAAAGAGGAAGGATGTGAAAACCTAGTCATATGACTTTAGTGCAAAGGAGGAAGGAAGATGACATGCATGTGTGTTGTGCTGGGGCGAGCCGAGACCGAAGGAAAAGGAAGTCACTTCTCTAGGGATTAAGGGAGACGATCGAGAGTTAAAAGGCAAGTATAAGATTTTAAATTAAGTTATTCAATTTTAAAAACTATATATATCTATATAAATATATTTATTTATTTATTTGTGTGTGGGTGTGCACGCGCACACATCAGTTGGCTCATTGGTTAGCTGAGTAAGTTCCCTGGGGTCCCGGAATCGAGGCTCGCATCGAATAAATGCACATATTTTAAGCTGGGGTGGATTGCAAGTATATCTTGAGGTCTATCTCTTTAAAGTTATATTGAATTAGGTCTCAAGGTATAGGGAGCAAAAATAGGTTAAGTGTGCTAGCTAAAGAAAGAGAGAAATTGATCAGAGCAAACTCAGGTAAGATAAATTTTATATTATAATTTAATTAATAACTTTTATAAATATATTTAAAGTTTATTTTTATGTGCTCATAGTAATTGTATTTGAAATCGGAAACTACTTGAGGTAAGGGAGATATAGTTTCGAGATCAAGGGAGTGAATCATTTTAAAAGATAAGATTTGTTTATTAAAGTTAAAGTTTAATTTAAAAAATTTAGAATTAATATTTAATAAAATATAATTTATAACAATAATTAAGATTGAAGAATATTTGAACTAAAAGATCGAGAGACAAGGAGTCGATGAGACGAACAAACAAAGTAAAATGAGTAATTACTTCTTATATGTAATAAATTCACTTTTTATTATTTTATTAAGTAAAGATTTGTCTTAAAGCTTCACACAATTGTTTTTATAATTAATGAAAGTTATATGCGTATTGTAAGCTTGAGAATTATTGCAATGAATGAAATTAAATACAATGAAAAATCTAAAAATGATTGTCAACTTTTTAAAATGAAATAATCTAGAGGAAATGAAATGTAAAGGCTTAAATCATTCCAAATTACCCCTCAGATGGTATTGACAGGAGATGTGATCCACCCGTGCATGAAAAAAGAAAATAAAAATGATCAAGATATGTGTACGGGTGTAGAAGTTTGAGAATAACTATGGATATAATTTTGAGGATGCATTCGAGTATGACGATAATCCTTATATGTCTTCTTAAAAAGGTTAAAAACAGATAAATATTTAAATTGAAATGTAAATGGTTAAATTAAAAAAGAAAATTTACAAGTTGGTTTATCAATAAATTACATTTTCTAAGGACATTCATTCATAGCATTTTCATATTAAATTAATGCATAAAAAGATTGTAATTGCTCACTAAGCAGTGGGAAATGTATTGTTGGATTTAATTATTTCTTTAAGAAAAATTGTAGCTTGATATGTCTGGCAAAAAGAATTTAGTATAAAGGAGGACTTCTAATATGAGCTATTTAATTTACAAAAGAACGGCTACTACTGATAGTTATTATATGGTGTTGTGGTTGTAGTTATTGTACTGTAGAATTCTGAGTAGTGTTGCAGTTGTGCATTAGTTTGAGATATTTTACTTACAGAAGATGGTGTTAATGTTGAATGATTTGATTTTTGTGTAGTATATTTTGCAGTATCTTGTGGGCTCTTTTATAAAATAAATGTTATGAATTTATGTGGAAAGTAAATGAAATGTTAATATTGTCCGACTACAGTTATTGACTTAGCTAATGCTAAGCTATCAGGCCGACTTGTGATATAAACAAAATAATGTTGAGCCAAAAGCCCCCTTTATATGTACAACAATACATAATGTTTAGATGTTACTTTCTGTTCCATGTGGCCAGCTCTCACCACCAGTTAAAACAAGTGTGGCTACTTTATTAGAAATAAAAGCGTGGCTTCTGGAATCAGTTTAGTTTGCTACAAACTTCTACATATAATATACTCATCGCATACCTTTATTAGAAACATAGCAGGGGCTGGCGGATCAGCTTGATTTCTCAACAATGGAGACAATGACAGCAACATCATCTAGCTTTCCACCGGAAAAAAACGGATAACCAGCAGCATGTGCAGCATCAGCAAATGGGCTTCTTGTAGTAATTGACTTCCCCACTTCCTGAGCCCGCAAAGCCAAAATCTCTGCAATTACCTGCAGATAGCCAAAAAAAAGCATATAAAAAAAATGACTTTGCAGTTTATACCAAGGGAATAGTTCTATATAGAATTAAAGAGTCCTGACCGCTGGCTTAAGATTGGCCTGCAATGATTTTGATACTATGTCAACTATTTCTTTTTCATATAAGTTGTCAAAGAGGCCATCTGTTGCAGTCACAATCACATCTTCTTCATCTAAATCAACTTTATATGTCTGTGTAGGGAAAATATATTCACAGGACTCATCAGCACTGAACAATTTGTTGGTTCAAGGGGATTAGAGGATTTACCTCTATGTATTTTGAGGGATCATCGCCGCTTTCAATCTGCAAGGGAAAGTTAAAACCGTATACCATTGGAGATGACCTGTTAAACACATGGGCACCCCTGATCACTACAAATCCTGAGTCTCCAATGTTTGCAACATGAAGTGCCTACAACAAATTCCATTCAAAATATTGAAGGATTCATAGAGCAGACCCACGTAACATTAGTCAAGCTATAGCTACTAGTACATCTCAAGTTACAATGACAAAATAATAAAAGAAGAAGCAGCAATGGTTACATCCAGTTTATTCCAGAACAAACCTGACCATCAAAAAAACCGACCAAAACAGTGGATGAACCAGGAGAATGTGCTTTTGAAGCACTATGAATAAGAACTGAACTGGGCTCATACTTTGAAATTCCATCACATTCTGACAAAAACTTTTCACAATTGTCCATCAGTTCCCTTGCATATAATCCAGCATTAACTCCTATAATAAGGTTATGAGAATGAAATTTATTCATAAAAAACATCCTTAATGAGGAACTAGCTTTCCCAGGGAAATTTACCTTCAAGTGACCATTGGCCCACGCCATCAGCTACACCAAACCAATTCTTGCATGCCACAAAGTAGGCATCTTCCCCACCAGTCAATGCCTAAGAAATTATTATTCAGCGTGAATGATCTTGAATCTTTTCTGGAGCAGAGCATAGTAGTTCAATGATGAAAATTTCATGGATATACCACTTTATTAATCTCGTCTGCCAAAAAAAGAGACATTTACCTATTGCATTTGCAAGATAAATTTTTAAAAGGTAGAGGTCAATGAATCGAGGCTACATCAGATTGTAGCAGGAAGTTGATGTCAAAATAGGCTCCTTAAATAGACAACATTTAAAGCACAATACACGAGCCAAGCACTTTTCTATGCTCACTCTATAGTGAAGTCCTGAGTTAGGTCAATAAGGATCCTTAAACCTTATATCCCTGGTTTTCATCTGGCACAGCCCAAGTCAAAGGGCCAGAGAAGTGTCTTTTAGGTGCAGAATTACCCCACCACCAAACTATAAGGGCAAAAAGCTGAACGGAGATATCCAAACAAAGGTAGCATCTAGAAAGAAGATTGGAAACCAGCAGCCATGGAGCTATATATGGCAAAGATGGCAGGATAGATTGCTGCTCCATTTATTCTGATGTAACGAGTTTATATTCTTGTCAAAAAAAATAGCAGTTCATCCATTTTAATGATGAAAGAGAAAAAACACGCCACACTTCTAATAATAATGAAAAACATATCATCTCAACGAAGTTAATTATAAGAGAAGAATTAAGTTTAAGGGTGGCCTAAAGTAGATCTTTCATGAGATGCATAAATCACACGCACCAATCAAAGTCACAGTCACAAACTTCTTATTTAAAAACTGTAACTTTTGGTAAAAAATAAAAAAATACAACAGAGCAACACAAACGGCAATAGTGTAAAAACATATATTACTTCAACGAGTAAAGCATTCCTTGCATCTTCATAATCAACAAACAGCCCCAAGGCAAAGAGTAAATTAGTCTGTATATTATTGCAGACATTAAGTCCTGTATATATGAGAACTGTAGAAAATTCTGGAGAGGCAGAGGAGATCCTAAAGCCAAATGTGGTTAGCAGAGGGTAGTAGAGAGTGTACGCTTGGTTGCCTAGCATTGTAAATTTCTTATTCCCCCTTGACCTGACTTTCAGTGTCAAGTGAAGTGATAGTGAGCTTGCCCAAAAGATTGTAGAATGGAGCTGCTGTTTGACTTTTCGTGAAGATGTCTTCCACTTGATCTTGAACTGATGTGCAGAACTTGAATGGCCCCCAATGCAATGTGATCGCGAATGAAGTGATAATCAATTTTGACATGTTTTGCACGGGCATGGAAGATGGGATTAGGGCTATGGCAATGTCAAAGGTATTTTCACAGTAAATTAAAGTATTTGTGGGGATGTGAAACTCTTGAAGGAGTCTGCGGATTCATATAAAATCTAATGTAGCAGCTGCGAGGGCTCAATATTCAGCTTGTGTGGAGGAGCAAGCCACTGTTTTTTACTTTTGAACTGTCTCAGATATAAGAGTGCTGCCAATGAATGTGATGAATTTGGTGGTTGGGCGTCCGTCCTGTGAATCGCCAGCCCAATCGGAGTATGAATAGGTTCAAAGTTGTAGATTGTCATTGGTGATAGGAAGGACAAAGAAAGAATCCCTTTGAGGTACCTTAAGAGACGCTTGATTAGATGAAATTGGTAGATAAGGGGGTGATGCATCTACTGGCAGATATGGTTGACGACAAGGGCTATATCTAGTCTTGTGATATCGAGGAATTGAAGAGAGCTGGCGAGCTGTCTATGTTGGGTGATGTCATGGTACGGTTGTAGTGAAGCTTGGTCGGATTGCAGCTTGTGAGTAAGAGTATAGCTTGCAGGAAGACATTCAAAGTTGTAGGAGTGATATAATGTAGGATAATTGGTTGAAATGATAACCTTGTGGTGTTTGATTAATGGTGAAACCAATGAATGTTTTGACGAGCCCTAGTTCCATGTTTTGAAATTTAGTTTTGAGATTTTGTATGATGCTAGCAATAGCAGGTGGATCATTATCTATGATGAGAATGTTGTCCACAGACACCAGAAAATAAATGGGGATCTGGTTGTGATGATAAATGAAAAAAGAGGGATCAGACGTGCTGAGATTGAACTCTTTGGCTTTAAGGTGACTGATGAGAGTATAATACCATTTTGTTGGTTTTTGCTTAAGGCCATAGAGAGCCTTTTTAAATACACATATTCAGTTAGAATATTAATATAGGGTTTTGGAATCGTGTAGGAATGCTTTGGAGTCATCTAGCAACTAAATTAGCCATTTTTTGCAGTTGAGAGAAGGATTTGAATGGGGACTGAAGGTTTTGGTGTATTGAGTGCTCTGTTGTTGCTTGAAGCCTTGTGTGACCAATCTAGCCTTGTATTTGAATGTTGTTCCATCATGAGAAAATTTGGTTCAATACATCCATTTGTAGCCAATGATGTTCCGATGATGTGGTGGATTGATGAGATTCCATGTACCTTGATGTTGAAATGCTTCAAATTCCAACGACATGGCCTTTCGACAGTGCAGGTATTTTACTGCTTGAGTATTGTTGTTGGGGTCGAAAGGTGGTGAAGTGATCCTGTTTGGGAGCGGCTTATCATGAGGTGTTTGATTGTAGTAGTGGGTTGATGAATTGGGAGGGATACGGTGGAGTGAGGTGACTGTGCTAGTTGAGAGGTGGTTGTTGGAGTGATTAAGATTATGGAAGGTTGGCTGGTTTGAGTTGGGGAAGGATTATCTATTTTGGTGGACAGCTGAGTAGTTAAGAGTAAGTTGAGTGGGGTGTAGGTATTGGACATATGAGGTGGCATTGATTAAGTATGGGGAAAGATTGCTTCATTGAAGATCACGTGCTTTGATATGATGATTTGATGTGTTTGAGGATAGTAAAAACACCAACCTTCATGAGATTGTGAATAGCCGATGAAGATTCATGGTGAGAACAAGGGTGCAAGGTTATGTGGAGCTTGCAACTTTAGCCAGGGAAAACAAAGGCATCAAAAAGTGCAAAGGTGGGTATAGATAGGTGGTGTGAGATAGAGAAGTTCATAAGGAGAATTGAGTTTTGTTGTCTTGGATGGCAATTTATTTATTAGGTAGGTGGCTATCATTAGAGTTGTTGTCCAGAACATAAAACGTAGGTGAGCAATGAGAAGGTTCTTGTTGTTTTGATTAAGTGTTTGTGCTTGCACTGGCTATTCCGTTTTACTGCGGTGTATAGCAACAACTAAATTGGTACATGATACCGTAGGATTTGAGGTATAGCTGCAAGGTTTTGGATTTATATTCACCTCCATCGTCGGAGCATAGTCCTTCGATGTTTGTTTTGAACTGGGTTTACACCATTTTGGAGAAGGATATAAATTTGTTTGTTGTCTCAGATTTAGCAAGCATAGAAAATACCCAAGTGAAATGAGAGTGGTCATTAATGAGAAGAAGGTCATATTCATATCCTCGTACTGCAGTGGAGGGGGCAGAACCCCAAAAATCAGAATGAACAGAATCAAAACAACGTTTAAACTCAAAAACAAAAGTCAGAAATGACTGTGATAACTCTTAAAGGAAGAAGATCGTGGAGATGAGTAGATGGCAGCCAATGCTGAGATGGGGTACAGACCGTTCTTGCTTGGTCCTTTAAGGAGAATTTTGTTTGTTCTCTAATCCTTGATAACAAAGCCAGATTGATTAAATGATATGTCACAATTATTGTTTGAGATTAATTGAGGGATGGAAAGGAGGTTGTGAGATAGGAATGGGGAGTGAAAGAGCTTGGGAAGATAGAGCTTACATTGAGGGGTAAATTGAATGGGCTAATCGTTGTGGGTGATTGGGAGGTTGGATCTGTCTCCAATGATGACGAAATCTGATCCTTGGTATAGTTGGGCGTGCTGTAAGTGGTCATAGTCGGAGGTGAGAAAAATGGTAGTGTCGAAGTATAAGAACCATGGATCTGAACAACGATAAGTTGAGGTCAAGAGAGATGTATCAGTTTTGGTGGAGAGATAGGAGCTAAAATTTATTTTGTGCTAGCTTTGGAGTGATGCATGTTCAGATTTTCCATAGATTTGACAAGACGAGCGATTTGAGTTTTTGTCTGATCCTCTACCGCCCATGTTTGGTGCCCGATTGATGTTGTTACCCCGGGGGTTTTAGGATTGTATACCACGACTCCTGTTGTCATTGTGTCATTCGCGTGTGTACAGTGCAATGGTTGTAGCTTTGGTTTCCTTAACATTTTTAGTAGAGATATTGATCTACTCGCTGCATAGCAGTGAATGCAAGTCTTCCAACTTGATCAATTTTGATCTTGTATGAATAGTTGTTTTGAAGAACTAACAAGAGGTCGGTAACCCATTGAGGATATGGAAGATTATGTCTCGTAGTCGATATGACCTCCGACAGCCGCTATGTTGTCGACGGGGGATT